ACTCTGGACGAGCTCACCTTGCCCTTCGCTTTACATTGCTTCTTCCTGCCTCAGTCAATGGTCAGAACCACGGACATCCAGCTTGCGTGGAAGAGGCCCCAGGTTTCCCAGAGTTCCCATTTGTCCTAGCCTCCCAGGACCCTTCCCAGCATGACAGCTCTGCCAAACCAAGTGTCCTCCAGGGGCAGACCTGTGTCCTTCTCTTAGCTGAGGCCAAATTTCATAGACCAAAAAAGCACAAATATGGAGGCGTGGGGGTTGTGCAGTGCTCTCAGCTTACTATTTCTAAGATGATGCCCTCAAATGACCAGTATCCAAATCACCAGTCTCATGATCAGATGCTGGCTGGAAATGCAGATCCCCAGACTTGCTGAGTAGTATTCCCGGGTTTAAGCCATGAAAGCCCTCATTTTCACAGCCTAGACCATGACTAGTTCACATTCTGGATTACTCCGAAGATAGTTTGGCTTCCAGCCTCAGCCTCTGATGAAATAGAGGCCAAAGCAGTGAGAGAGGGGGTCTGGGAAGGAGACAGAATTACGAGGTGAAGAGAGAATCAGGAAGCATGATGGGAAGATGCTGGATGGTTTCGGATGCACATAGTGGAGTTGTGCCCAGAGGCAGGTGCAAATTATGACAGCCGTGTGCCTTCCAGCTTCACTACTTTTACCTTTGTGCATGCTCTACTAGCTTTTGCTTCTGGCAAGATTTGCACCCAGACATGCCCAGCAGCATGATGTATCCGTCCACAAATCATAGAGTCAATGACAAGTAGGTGAAGAATAAAATGTCCAAGATCAAAAGGTCAAAGTTTTATAAAATGGCAATCTACATGTCACAAAACTTTTGCCTAAGAGTTAGTACTCTCACAAATGTGAAATACATTTTCCCAGTCCCACACCACACCTCATTTCCCAAGTCCATGCCAGTTCATATCGCTCAATTCATGCTTCGTGTGGCTTTAGAAATTCTTTCCCAGTGAAGAGAAAACCACCCACCTCCTTCCCTCTTCTTATGAAATACATATTTCACAGTGACTGACACAACAGAATGTAGATTGTATGGAAAATAACACCTATAACTTCTGACTGCTAACTTCACTCAGAAATGGATGTAGGAAGAGTTTAGACACAGATGGGGAAAAAAAGTGTTCAGTACCATTCTTTTCTTTTTCAGAAAATGAGTCATGGAAGGGAATTGAAAGTTTATTCTAGAATCTATTTATTCGGGAGCCTAGACAAAACAGACTTTTGAGAGTTCATTCTCTCAGACCCTCCTATTTATAATTAATCCTCTTTTCTAACAACAAACCTACCTCTTCTTTCCTGCCCCCACTACTCCAGTTCTCATTGGATATTTTGACACCCAAGTATTTTTCAGTTTCTTGCTCACGAGGGGCAAATTAGTACAAGGTCTGGGACACTTGGCCACCATTCCAGATTCTTATGCAATGGACTAAAAAATTCATGCAATGGACTCTAATGATTGGATTTATGTCTTGGATTCTAGTTTTAAAATTACCCTGGAGACACCACCAAGAATCAACTTATAATGCATAGGGCTTTCATGTTAGAACTCAAAGGCCAGGTATTAACATCTGGGCCTTCTGGTCACCATTGCCACTTCCAACTCTACTCTCTAGTAGCTCCCAAAGTGGCTGTGTATCAGAATCACTCAAGGATTTTGTTAAAAATAGATTTTCTGACTCAACTCCAACATAAAGAATCTGAATTTTTTTTTCTTTTTTTTTTTTTGCAAGCTGCCTAAGTGAATCTTATGCAGTCACCAAGGACCCATTTACTGAAGACATTTGGGAAGCACTTCTCTGGTCTAGTGGTTCTTGAACTTGTATGTGCTTCAGAGAGACCTAAAGGACTTATTAAAATACAGATTGAACCCTCAGAGTTTTCAGTAGGTCTGGGATGGAGTCTGAGAATGTGCATTTCTAACACGTTTCCAGATGATGTCGATGCAGATCTGGGGCCATGCTTTGAGAACCACAGCTCTAACCTAGGTTATTTGTACACATGTTTATTATTCATTAGCTCTTATATTACATGGCCAAGCAAGGCCTGGGCTTCAGAGAAGGAATTATCCTCTCAGATCAAGGGTAACACTTGGCTGAGCATCATAATCACCTAGGAGCTTTTATTTTCTTTAATTTAACGCTCAGTTATTGGAATTAGGCTTCTGCTTCACCCCAGATCTACTGAATCGACATCTCCAGGATGCTCTGGGAATTTGTATTGTTTTGAAGTAAACCAGAAGTTTCTGATTACAAGGATTTGAAAACACTGCCTTAGATGAGCCAGATTTGTGACTTTATGAATAACTTATACTAAAAAAATCATTTATCTGAAATTCAATTTTAATGGGGTATCCCATATTTTTTTGTACATCTGGCACCCCTAGTGACTGAGCTGTATATCTATGAAGAGTTTGTTTCCTCTGTGTGTTCCCCCTTTTGCTTAACACAGCCCTATTTTAAATGCTCAAGAGGGTGGTGGTGAGGAGTAAAATCCATGCAAACAGGATATGCAGGGTGAAGAAGAAAAAATGATTTCCTCAGGAAACACACACACACACAGAGAGAGAGAGAGAGAGAAAGAGAGAGAGAGAGAGAAACTTCATTAATCGAGACAGCAGAAACAAAATCAGGAAGGAAAAAAATACTGTCTGCTAAGGGCTTTTTAGCAGACGATTCGTCAATTATACAGTCAAAAGAAACCCTGGGGAAGAAAAAGACACCAAAGATGCTATTAAAATGTTCCAAGTGAAGCCATATATAATTAATTTCAAACAAGCATAAGCTATGAAAACTCAAATACTTCAAGGTGCTGAGTGAAAGGAAGGATAAATCTGCACCAGGCTTCAAAACCAATGCTTCCAGGTGAGTCTAAGATTAAGCCAGAGACAGGGAGATAATGATGTCTGCTCCCTCCCTGTTTTATTGGAAGCTCAAGAGAGCCTTAAGACGAGATGCTCCCAGTGCATCAAGGACAAGACAGACACATATAGGCCAGCACCTGACATCAGCACATAACAACTAAAAACTGAATCAAATCAGTGGAACAAAATCAAAACAGAGAAGAAAAATTCACTGACGCAGAAGACAAAGAATATAAAGGATGCAATTTGGCAAACCACTGCACAGGCTGAGTAACCACCATATAAGAACCATGGTCCCTGCAAAGCAAGCAGGTTTCTCCCTATTCTGTTTTACCAATCCATAGGTTAGGCATCAGCAAAGTTTTACTGTAAAAGGCAAGAGAACGAATCTTTTAGACTTTGTAGGCCATATACTGTCTGTTGCGTCTGCTCCTCCTTGCTGTTGTAGCATGAAAGCAGCCATAGACAACACGTAAATGAAGACATGTCTGTGTTCCAAATAAAACTTTATTCACAAAAATAGGTGGCTGCTGTGGAACTGAATGTTTGTGTCCCTTCAAAATTTATATGTTCAAGCTTCAATTCCCAATTTGATAGTATTTGGATATGAGGACTCTGGGAGTTAATTAGGTCATGAAAGTGGAGCTCTCATGAATGGGAATAGTGCCATATAAGGGAATGAAGAGCCAGTCTCTCTCTGCATTCTGCCCTGTATGAATACAAATGGTGGTCTGCAAACCAGAAAGAATGCCCTCCTCAGACACCCGATCTGCTGGCACCTTGATCTTGGACTTCTCAGCCCCCAGAACTGTAAGGATTAAAATTTTTAAGCCACAAAACTAATAGTGTATTTGTTACAGAAATCCAACAGGCTAAAAGTGGTAGGACGTATGTGGCTGATGAACCATAGTTTGTGGACTCCCACCATAGGTGAGCCCACATGGTAAGGATAGTGTCATTAATGGACTGACTTGATGGAGTACTCAGTCTCCCGATGGTAGATGCTCAATTAACAAACAAACAAACAAAAATACTCCATTATCACCATACATACAAGGGCAGAGTGTTTAGAGCTCACCCCAACTGCAAAGGCAGGAAATCAGGATTCTGAAAACAGAAGTTGCTGAGACTATTATAAAAGGGAAAGAGGACACAAAGGGACCAAACATTTTAGCATGTTTTTAGAAAGGCTCTCTTGGTGGGCCTGACATTCAGAGAAAAGCTGACTGTATGGGGGAGGGGCCCTCTGGCCAGTTTCTTTGAAGTGAAGCTGCTACCCCTGAGGGTACAACATGTGGTAAGGCTTCATCCTCTTCCATCAGGAAGGTTTCCTGACCTTTTCAATTGACTAATTACCGTTTAGCATCCTAAGAAGTATCCTTCCTGAAATATAAAAAGCTAAGTCACTTTGGCAGAGAATTTCATAATTCAAGCTGGAATAGATCACCCATGGTGCATGGAAACTTAACTTCAGTGACCTCCTTTACGACACTGGTAAATGTTTTATCCGAGGTCACCAGGTCAGTCAAGAAACACACAAGCATGCATTCTATACCGTATAATTTAAAAGCTTTATTTCTCCTCACAATAGTAAATGGGTTTCATATTAGTTCAACTGAAGTTTTCTTCCTATAGTTAGCTGCCTTTCTCACTTACATTGCTTTCTTATGATGGAAGAGTTGATTTCATAGGGACACTCTGAGCTAATCACAGAAATGAGAGAGTCTGACCCAGCAGCTTCTGAAGGAGTCTTGAGGTCAAGCAGTCCATTCAGCTAAAGGCCTGGTCAGCAGGACCAAAACAGGCTGCTGCAACCTCTCTGTTGCAGATACTGGCAGGATCCTCCCTGCAAAAGAGACAAGATGCAGCCCCTCTGACCAGGAAGCCTGGAAGCCAGACAATCCCCTCACTTCCTGCCACATGCCCTTCCTCCATCCTGCGGCCCGACATAGGAGTGCTTTAGCTCAGCGAACAACTGGCTTCTGCTTTGGGGTCGTCCAAGGTGCACTCTTCACCAAGTGCAAGACTGGTCTTCACTCAAACGTTCAGCGTTCACACAGTTTTTGGCTTGTGCTTCGGAGGGAAGTTTCTGTCTCTCTTAGGAACAGTGGCTTCATGTCAGCAGAGGCACGGAGACCCAGGCCAGCACTGGTAGGTAGAGCGTGGGGGCACTGCTGCCGGATGTTCTCTGAGCATGCATCACGGCGAAGACTGCATTAGTGTGGTTGGTGGGTAACTCTACATTACAGATCATTCCTTCACAGCAAGACCTACACTCCTGTTACAGAAGCAATGGGAGAGGGGAAAGAGAGTAAGTAATGGGAAGGAGTGGGAAGGGCAAAACAAAGAACAAAAGAATGCTTCCACAGCGCTGAGGACGGACAGAATTAGTTACCCAACTCATCCGGTCTATGAGATACTCAGGCCCTTGAGTACCTTTCCCCCACTAACCCGAAAGTAAGGACTATCTTGAGAGTCTTTTCATTTTAACAGCGATTTATCTGTAGCAAGCCAAGCATAAGCAAAGGAAAAAAGAGGAGGAGAAACTGAATAAGACTGCTTGATTGAGTCAACAAATCTTCTAAGGTTTGTAAGGAAAAACACTGACATGAAAATGAAAGCTAGGAACCTTTTGGACTGGCCATTGATTTTCTTTCTCAGTACTACTTGTTAAGGGATAATAATGACTTTGTATTGTCTATACTAACAACTGATTTCTATCATTACAACAGCAAAGGCTTGCTAATTATGGCTGCTGAGGAGTGGAAAAGGCTTGCTCCCTCACAGCACAAGGTGTTTTCAGAGGAAGCAATCTTCTGTCATAATACCTGGTACAAGGCTTCAACCTGATAAACTTAGCCATTCCAGGATGGCTAAGAAAAGGGCAGCAACTCTACATGTCTTTATCAGCTGCTTTCAACCCTGGCAGCAAGAACATCAGAATCTCCTTGGAGAAATTTAAAAAAGAAAAGAGAGATGCCTGGGTGGCTCTGTTGGTGGCTCAGGTCATGATCTCCCTGTTTGTGAGTTCAAGCCCCACATCAGGGTCTGTGCTGATGTCTCAGAGCCTGGAGCCTGCTTTGGGATTGTGTATCCCTCTCTCTCTCTCTGCCCCTCCCCTACTCGCACTCTATGTCTCTCTCTCTCTCTCTCTCTCTCTCTCTCTCTCAAAAATAAAAATTTTAAAAAAGAAAAAGGAAAGAAAAAAGAGCCTAATGCCCAAGACCCCACGTGAAGTTCAGTTTCAGCTGATCTGGGATGTTCCCTGACCACCACCAATATAGCTGTGAAAACTCCCCAGGTGACTCTCCAACGTTGCCAGAGCTAAAAGCTACTGGTATCAGAAGCACTTTCTGTACACAGTAACTAAATCAAATTCTAAAATCTCATAAAATTAACATACTTTTCAAGTAATTTTTTGTCAAACATTTCACAATTCCAGGCATATAAAAGAGTGAAATTGCTCATTTTAGAATGACAAAAAATTAAGGAGATCAACTGATCTGAAATATATCTATACTTCATCATATTAAACTAAGATCAATTCTTTCAGACTCTCATGTCCCCATCTAAGCAGAGGTAGGGGTTAAGACCAGGTTTCCTTAGTAAAAGGCATCCCCATTTCCCTCTTTCCACAACCCAGCTACCCTGTGCATTGTTCTCGGTGATATCTGGCCATAAACAAAATACATGAGCTGGGTTCTGTAACGTTCATCACTCTCTCATGGATGGTTGGCTCTTGGGCTTCCAGAACAGACTTCAAACAAATCAAGTTCGAGGTCTAGGATGGAGCTCTGTGGTCCGGGAATTACCATTTGTTTTTAGTGACATTTTTTGTTGAAGGACAGGAAGTCTTCAATTTCTCTTTGGTCTCCACTACATCACTGTAAGGGAGTCTTTCCTTAAAGACTACATGTATACAACAGGTTACTTTATCCTTCCTGCCTTTCCATTATGTATAACTAATGACCAGTAGGAAAAACCTTAGGACAGTAACCTTACACATACACACACACTCCTTACTGTATGTTCAGAATCTCGGCTGTGGTGGCAGCCAACAAAATGACATTCACTTCTGGAGGCACATTTTTTGGTAATGGATGTACTTCTTCCGTGGCTGGTGAAGTGGTGAACTGTCAGACAGTACTGTGTATCTAGGCAGGGGGAGAAAAGGCAACGTCATGTTTCACGCTGCAAAAGAGAAACTCAACAATCACTTCAGGAAAGACTAAAACTCAGGATGATCCTTAGGTTTCTCGGCAAGAAGTTTAATGGCAGGAGTGGATGCCTCTCCTTTGGTGCCAGCTAAAGCTGAGAAAAAAGTTGAACAAGCTTTTCATCAGCACCTCCGGTCTGCTCATTTCATATGAGAGTGCCAGCATCTCTGTCTCTGTCTCTCTCCCTATGAAGCACGTGTTCTAGAACTCCAAAATAAAATGAGAGTTGTAAACGTAAAATGCAGTGGGTTAGAACACATCTTGGTGTATTATTCAGCATTTGTTTCTTGTATACTAACAGACATGTGGTGGAACAGAATGAAAACAGGTGCTTCAAAGTATACATCAAGACCACCTTCCTGACCCATCCACTTCTTACTCATGCTCTAATCCTCCCTGCATGTTTGACTTTTCCGGAGTATTCCCATTTTCCTACTCTCTCTGCCCCTCCCTGCACACAGCTAGCTCATGTCTACAGTTTTCCCTATAGCTTTAAGTACTCACATTTTACTACTTTTAAAGAAAGTGATTTCATTCAATATGCTAGGACCCGCCACTTCAGTTTTGCATCTCTCTCCAGTTATCTCAGACCAATGCAATGCTCCTTAGTTTATTGAGAAGGGACTATAGCAGCAATGTCATAAAATGGGGGGAAACCTTACTAATGTGGAGAGCACTTGGTTTTAGAGAATTCTGTCACATGTGAGCACTATTAGGTCCTTAAAGCTCATTTTCTTTTGAATAAAAGATGATAACAAGTGTCCGACATTTTGATAGGGTTGTGGTAAGCTTCAAATAATATTAACACGCCATCAGTGCGGCACTCTAACAGGTATTCACTCAGTCAATCCTTACAATAAGCCTTAAGGCAAGTCATATTAATATCATTTTACAGATAGAAAAGCCAAGGCACGGTTTCTTGCCCACAGTTACATTAGACAGAAGGTGGTGGAAGATAGGATTCTAACCTAGGCAGTTTTCTAGGGTTTGTACTCTTAGCCAGAACACTATTCCGCCTCGCAGCATACCTAGTGTTAAACTAGATGATGCTTTGCTGTGCTCTAGGAGAGTAGCTGACTTCTGCCTTTAGAAAGACAGGGAACCACTGAATGTTTGGGAAAGGCATTTCGACCTATACTTCACATAAAGAAGAATCGGAAACTGGTAGCTGCATGTGTTCGTATAAAATGCTACACATGCTAAAGCACCCTAGAAAGTCAGAATAGAAGCCAGGGTAAATAAAATAAGAAATGTCATTCTTGTCATATATCCTGTTACACAGAGAACCTCTCTTAACAACACTGACAGACCACAGAAGTAAAGCTCTAAGGTGAAAAGGAAACCTGAGCTGACAAAGAACAATAGCTGTGGGCCAGTCTGCCCCCGAGAAATGGTTGACTATCACGCCCCTAAATGATGACTAACTGAAAAGCAAGAAATTATACCCTCAGGTAGAATTCCAGATGGTTAGTATCTTTGGGGCTTGACTGGAGCACAGTCAAAAATGTAGTGTCATGCACACTGGAATGTAGGGTCGTTCCGTGGCAGTCTCGTTAAGAGTCAAGTTTTCAAGTTGGACTTGGAAGAGCCAACTTCCTTCACCCTTCCCATCTCTGGCGTTTCCTTGCTGATGGAAAGCTGCAGCTCCCTTCTTCTGCTCACGTGTTTCAACAGAGATGAAACTCTGCAACCCGGAAATATCCATGCACATTCCCATTCAAGACGGCTTTGATTCATGAATGACAAATCAGAGTACTGTGCTGTTCCTAGCAGGAACAGGGTTTGGATACAATTCAAAATAATATAGTCCATGAAGACGAAGTACAAGGAGTTGGACATCAGTGCCGTAATTTGCTACTGTTAAAATCCTTACCACCCGGTTTTCAGGGGCATTTAAAGCAAATAGCTAAGAATGGTACCCACCCTCTGAAGTAAATTAGTAAAGAGAGGCATCGGCCAACCTTAAAAACTTTGCAATTACTAAGATAAATTTCTGTGCAAAATGTAGAAACAAATCTCCAAATGCACAAGATACATAAATGTACTCAAACACACACACACAATTTAAGGTCACTCTACAGAAATGTAAAAGAACCTCAAGACAAAATTAAAATAATTAATTACTCTTGAAAAGAAATCATGAAAAATACTGTCCAGAGGCACGTGGGTGGCTCAGTTAAGTGACCCACTCATGGTATCAGTGCAGGTCATGATCTCGTGGTTGTGAGATCGATCGCCACATCTGGCTCCATGCTGAATGTGGAGCCTGCTTGGGATTCTCTCTCTCTCTTCCTCTCCCCTTCTCACTCATGCTTGCTCGCTCTCCCTCTCTCTCCAAATAAATACACATTAAAAAAAAAGAAAAATACTTTCCAAGTAGATGTCACAACCAATTGTGCTAATTTACAGCCTAAGAGTCTCAGGCCCCATAGAGGTCTGCAGTGTGTACTAATCATTGGTACCATACACTGGCTTTATCTGGAAGAGGTAAGGCTATTTTACTGCTTTATAGAATATGGTACAAAGATTTCCAAAAGAGTCAAGGTAATAGTACACCAAAACTGGTAATCTTTAGCTCTAGAAGAGTTTGTTGGTTGGTCGGTTTGCTTTTCTTGGCCTTTTATGTCTGAAAACCTAAAAAATAGTACTTCCTAAAAATCTGAATAGCCTCATCTTATAGCTCTGAGTAGAGCTTTCCAATTCCAACTCATCCCTCAGCACATCCCGTCTGCTTTACCTCCAAGTTTATATATGTTAAATCATTTGACTTCTTGTCCCTCTATCCCTACCACCATAGTCCCGGTTATCATCTTCTCCCGCCTAAAGACAATAAAAGACCCCACTTAGTTTCCCTTCTACTTTTGTCCCCAACCACTAGGGATGTATCCGGGAGCTAAGCAAACTAAAAAGTTCTCAAATGTTTGTCAAATGAATGAATGAGTTACCAAGGCACCAATGTATCTCAAGAGTATAAAAACCCTTCTTTGCTTTAGCCAGTAAGTGTGACTTTTCTAGAGGTATCAAGCATTTCTGAAATTCTTAGAATGCCTTGGACAACACTGTGGACTATTTGTTCTGCTTGATAAATACTATTTAAGAAATCCTCCCTGGAGGCACACACAGCACACACAAACTGAGGTTATACCATCAGCTTCCAAGTACTCTCGGAGTAGTCTGATACCTGCACAGTCTACTAAAAGAAATCTGATTTTGATATAACATCATCAGCCTGTTGATATATGCTAATCCCATTATATAAGGCAGGTCCGCTCACGGCCAGTTAAGAGAGACCTAAATGAGGTATAATCACCAGAGAGTGTTCCAAACTCAGTGCACTTACTTTGTGGGCACCATTTGTCTTCTGCCCATCGATTGCAGTTATAATTATCCCTTGCATTTTCACAGGTAAAACACTTGAAGCTATTTGGAAATGGCGTAGCTTTAAAGAAAAATGCACAGTGAAACAGAAAGGTTAAAAAAGACAAAAATTTTAAACATCAAAGATGGCACAAATTAGCAACTTTTATCAGATCAAACGAAATTTACAAACCATCATCCTTAGAGTTTTCATTGCCAAGGAGCTGGAGTTAACTGCCAGACTTCGGGGCATATTTATTCTCTTTTCTTTAAATATTTTGTCTGTGCTTATCTACTATAGAGTAATGAAAATGGTTCCACAAGCCACTTTGAAACACCCATGGTATTGTTTCATTACAATTTATAACTTGGGAATAAGTGGGGGTTGAGAGCACAGGAAAGGGTGGTGGCGGGATTGGAACCAATGATTTGGTTTAGTGTGGCCCCTGAAAAGAACTGGAGTCAGATTAACCTGAGCTTGAATTCTGTTCTTCCTACTGCGTAGCTTTATCATTTTTAACTTCCAGGAAATAATAATATTTAGAGAAATGCTAACAGTGAAGATCCCCATGACTTGCAGAGGAATCATGAAGATTAAACAGGAGGCTGCAATAAAAAATATCTAGCATAGTCCCTGGCACATCAAATTCTGCTAGTTTCTGTCTACACGCACTTCCATTACAGCCATCTTCAACCTCAATCAAGCAATCTCACTTGATATACGTCAATTATCACAACATTAGACCTCAATCAGGAATGTAACTTTTAATGTAAGGATGATAGCAATTCTCAGGCTCTTATGCTCATGCTGGTGTTACAGAAAGCAGGAATTATGACTGCTGGCAGTCTGGATTGAAAGTAACTAGAATGTCTTTTTGGTCTTTAGGTTTTTGTGTTTTTTTTTCCCCAACCTTGTATCTTGTTATTTTAATGGGCAAGAAGTCAAAAGTGTAATAAATTTGACATTTCTTTATAAGCCATGGCATAAAGCCTTACGTAAAACTTCCAATTCTTCCATTTTTGGAGAATAAAATGGATAAAGATTAAGGAAAATGTCCGACCATCCTAGTAAACTGATCATGTTAGTCAAATATTTCTATTTTTTAATGATTTTTTTAATCATAAAATTTTATTAGGCTTAAAGTTTCAAAATTTGTCTATAATTTAGATTTTACGAAAATCTCAATGTGTTTGTGCCATGTCATTAAGCTATTAGTATACAATCATTACCAGTTTAGAAACATATAATAAATGACAGTTCAAGGTGTGCATGGTATATATGCAATATATGTGTGTATGCACACACGCACACGCAGTGTCACAAATAATAAAGAAAGCACAAAGGGAAGAAAAGTAATATATAGGCTTCATTTAGAAGTGGTATAAAGACAGTGGGTCCCAAACCTGGCTGTGCATGAATAGTATCAGGAGAGCTTTTTTAAAAAGAAGAGGGTTTGGGGCAGGGAAAGCAAAGAATATAATTTACATCCCACCCTTCTGACTACTGAACCTCTGCAGAGGAGACCAAGGAATATGTAGTTTTAAAGGCTTTTATCATGATTTTGATACTCTTCCAGGTGTGGGAACTACAGCCATTCATCTTTATACCAATTGGTGTCTATAATCTTTCTCTAATAAAGTATATCAGAGAAGTCTCACTTGTCTGAAGAGAGAAAGGAGATGATATACGTATAAAAGTACAAATATTCACATGTATGCATATAAAATATATTATCCTATAGATAATGTTCACTGATATTTGCTTCTGTGTAAATTATTAGTGGAAAAGTTGAATTTTATACAGCCTTTTCTAATGGTGACTATGCATATTAATGAAAATCCAAGTATTATTTCCCACCTAATTTCAAATATACAAATCTGTTTCAAAATTGTTAATGGTCATTTGAAAGAATATATCATTTAGGGGTGTCTGGGTGACTCGGTTGTTGAGCATCTGACTCTTGATCTCAGCTCAGGTCTTGATATCGGGGTCATGAGTTCAAACCTCATGTTGGGCTCCACAACCATATATAAATTATATACGGAGAAACTTCCTTCCTACAGCCAATATCCTTCTCCATTAAAGAGATCAACAAAGAACACTGTCTGCTAAGCCATTCGTGGTGACAGTGTTCAAGAGATTATTTTACTTTTTCATTTTTAAAAATGTTTATTTATTTTTGAGAGTGAGAGAGCGAGCGAGTGCACGTGAGTAGGGGGAGGGCAGAGAGAGAGAGGGAGACACAGAATCAGAAGCAGACTCCAGGCTCCGAGCTGTCAGCACAGAGCCCGACGCGGGGCTTGAACTCATGAACCGTGAGATCATGACCTGAGCCAAGTCAGATGTTTAAACTGAGCCACCCAGGCACCCCAAACAGAGTATTTTAACCAAGAACCATTTTGAGACTTCAGCAGAAATCTAAAGCATTTTAAAGAAATGGAGAAAATTTCTGTCATTATGTACTACTCCTCCTCACCAAAGTAGTGAAGACTCTCTGGCTTATTCTAGGTATAAACCAAATATTCCAGAGCAGGCAAAGTTATTATAGGTGGAAAGAGGGACTTCGAATTGTCGCCCTGACCCTACAGTCGTGAACCAGGACACAACCACTACTTACGGTCCAGAGGAGGCCTCACGTTGTAGAAGTTGATGTTCTTGGCCAATGCCCAGTGTTCTGACAAGATAAAGATCTGGACAACAGCTACAGCCAGAGCATGACGGAGGGGCAGCATTCTGACCTTGGTTATGGGAAAGTCCAAAACTCACATCTACAATGAAAAGAGAGACTGGTCGCATTTATCTGCATTTTGTTTGTCAGGAGGAACAGGCTTTGCTTCCATTTGGGAAGTCTGATTATTCAAATCTATCCAACCATCTACTTGTTCTATAGGGCCCGTACCCGTAAGCAAACTGCATTCTTTTTCACAGAAGAAAGCTAAGTAATTACTGCCTTCTACTGGTCAGGCCTCTGCACTAGCCAGTTAAGCTCTAGCAGGACACCCAAAGGCCTTTCAGGTTCCGGAAGAACAAGGAACAGCATGGGTGTGGCCGCACCCCATTCCCTCACTGCCTGAGGCTAGCCAGCGTACTTTGTGCTGAATCAGCCAATCACTTAACAAACAGGGTTCAGAGGCACGTTCACCTGAAGTTACTGAACCACCTATCTGTCAAGTCCATACTCTGAGTAAACATTTATGTTTGAGAAATTTTGCAACGCTTTCAAAACCTGGAAGAAACCTTAAGAGTCAGAGCACTAGGAAGGGCAGTGCATAAATGTACAACGAGTTTGGGAAATAGAGTCTCTGCTGGACCCCAGAGCACAAAGACAATGCCATCCCCATCTGTGTCTGTCACACTGGGTGCAACAAGCTGCCAGGAGGTTCTAGAGAAAACAGAGTAAGAGTTGTTTGAAATGCTGATGTGATGTTAGTCCTAGCCCACAAATACTGCTTCTGCTTTCAAAGAGGTGAAGTAGTCAGGTTTGATACCCAGTGAAACAACAGACGTCCACAGCGCACCGAGGAAGACAGTACATCTTAAGTCCCACTGGTTCTACCCTCTAGAAGCAGACCTGGTAGTAAGAAAATCTTCAGGAGAGATGCTGAGAACATACAGGATCACCACAAACAGGTTCTCTTTGGCAATGGAGAGGTGTGGGAAGCAGAAAAGGATGTAACTTGGAGTCCAAAGACTTTGGTTCAGGTATTGGCTCTGCTATTTATTAGCTGTCTGACCTTGGGCAAGCTCTTTAAGCTCTATTAACCTCAATTTCCTCATCTGCAAAGTGGTTTAATAACACCCATTCTGCCCACACTTTGGATAATTGTAAGCATCAAATATAGGCTCAGGTAGAATCACATAGGATTGTGAAAGTAACAGCACTTGTAATACAAGTCTGTGAAAATGCTAGAACCTTAGAGTTCAATAATATTGCCTGAACTCATTTTCTTCTTGCTGAATCAGCCGGTCTCTGTGGGTTTAGGAAATTTTTCAAAGAAGAAAAGTTTGATCTCTGCACATATGAGCATAATCCTTCACATGGATATTTTGTTTGAAGCCAGGATCATAACGCACAGAATCTAGGGATTTTACCTCCCCCTGTTGTGTTGTGAGTATATTGGTTTTGCATGTATAGCTAATAATGCCTACCTACAAAGATGGAACTAGATAGCAGACAAAATATAGCCAACAGCATCCCCATCCCTATAGATGGCTTCTGCCACCAATTGAACATAGTCTCTAAGAAGTACTCAGTGTAAAGGAAAACCTGGAAGGTTTCAAAAGCCAATAGGGCTAAACTTCCTATACTGCATTTCAGCTCACGACAGAATGCGACCTACTGATATGTAAATACATATATAAAATTCTGTCCTGGTTCATTTTAGAAACCAAAATTGATCGTTCACAGTTATTAGATTTCTAAATCTTATTTTTATGCTCTTTCTGAAGAAATGGACGTTTCTAATAGCTAACTATATTATTCCTTACAGACGAGTCATTATGCTGGTACAAATTCTCCTTCTCCTATTCCTTTCTCTAAGTTGGACTGCTCCATATTCATTGTGAATCTGGAGCCAAGGAATGAAGACCCCTGCTTTACACCAGTGGAGAAACTTTGAGTAGGAGAGACTCGTCCCTTTTTCACAAATCTCAAATTCATTGTGTTCCAATAGCAACCCATATTCAAGTAATATGGAAATAATGCCTAAGATTATACATTTCAGAGTCGTATCATCTACATTCAGTCCCTTTTCCATCACTAACAAATATGGGGCCTCAGACAAATTGCTTCAACTTTCCAAGCCTCGGCTTGCCCATCTGTAGAAGAGGCACAATAACAGTCTCTACCTCAGAGTATAGAAGCACAGACTAAATGACATCATGTGTATGAAGCACTCAGCCGAGTGCTGGGCACATGGGCACTTTCAGGTAGAGTACAGGCTCAAACACCTGCTTCTAAATCTACTCTCTTTATAGACTGGTGCAAGTTCCTTGACCTCTCTGTCCCACAACTTTTGCATCTATAGAATGGAAGTAATGATATTAATACCTACCTCATAGGGTTGTAGGAATTAGTTAATACACATAAAGCACTTATCTAATTAGCTGTGTTCGCCAGTTTTCAATCCTCACTAGGTAGCATTCGCTGTTAAGAACATATCTCCAAACAGGAATCCCAAGTCAGAACCCCTGGTTTTCCTCATGTAATCTCTATGTGAGACAGAAGCTCATTTATTCATTCAAATGTCATTACTGACATGTAGTGCATAGAAAGAAATTGTTATTACTGGACCTCCAACACGGCCTTTGCTCTCATGAAGTGTGCATTTTAGAAGGAGAAGACAGACACTAACTATGGGGAAAATGTAATTTCAGATAGTCATGATTCTGAGATAAGTACAATAGAGAGATGTGTGGGTGAATAGGAGGACCTACTTTACATATACAGTGGACCCAGTATGAGAAGAAACCACCCAAGCAAAGAATCAAGGGAAAAGACACTAGGGTTCCAAGATAGGAAGAAGTGCACGTGCAGGGGGGAGGGGGCAGGGACAAAGTCAGAGGTGGTGGGACCAGATCATACAGGCACTTACTTACAAGCCATGGCAAGGATTTGGGATCTAACAAAACCAAGGAACTGTTTGGTTTTAGATTATCTGATTTTGAAAAAATGCTTGGTCTCTGCAGAGCAACAGGTACCAAATCCCTAGCCTTATTTCTCACTCCCAGAATAAAGGGATGCCAATAACAGACAACATAGAGGAATTTAGGATTCACAAAGGTTTCTCTGAATAAAAGAGTGATTGGATGGCAGACGACTTTAAAACAACCAAATGAACAGCAAGCCCAAGGATTAGATTTGTATTTTGTTTTTTCCATTCTTCAAAACAGGACTGTAGGGAAAGTGGCATCATTACCATTGTACAAGTGAGCTTAGGAGACAATGTGTGTAAAGATCCTAGCACACTTCCTGGAACAGAGTAACCCCATCAAAACAACAGTGAAAAGTCGCCATATCGACTAGTATATTTTTATTTCCATTTTTAGCTAAAACAGCATAGCCTTACTGTATCAAAATTCGCCAGAACTGCAAAGGTTTTACCTATCAAATGAAACAAACAAACAAAACACTAAATAAAAATGTCTGCTATTTTCCAGAGCCGGCTTTATAATCTATTACCAATACTGCTTTCCCCTAAGTACCTATATCTATCTCTATCTATTCTGCAGTGGATAGGTTTGTGTTAACATGACTGTTTTATCTTTCACAACCAAAAGACATTAGGATAATGAAAAAGCAAATGACTAACTATGGTATCTGAAAGTTGTTTTACATTTAGAATCATTTCACGGAGACTCTGAACTAAAAATTATCTGCTGAGACTTTGCTGAGTAGGCTCTCACTGCAGTCTTTGTTGCAGAACAAGGTTACAGTAGAGCTTGTATTTTGCTCCAGAAGGGAAAAAAAAGAAGTCTTTAAGATGAGTCAGACTAAACCATTCTGGTATTTTCTCCAGGACCATCACACAGAGCAGAGTTCTTCAGAGCAGGGAGGGGTGACTTGTAAGCTTGTTAGGGTTATTTGCAAAATATTGTGTCTATATAGATTTTTCCCCCTGGGCTGAGGATCTCAAAAGGAATCTGTTAAGGAATCTGTTAATCTTAACATAACAGTTAAGAACTGCTGCTTGCTGTTTCAGAATACAACTGTCAGGATTTGGCTTCCTGTGACTTAGATGGTTTTATATTTGACACTAAGAAAGTTCCACATATACATTAGGTATCTGGTATACACTCAAGTTCAAGGATGGCTCAAATCATTCCTCCCCAGCAGAGCACAATATTTTTATCCATTTTTCCCCACAGATGGTAGGCCTGGTCAAAAACCCCTCACCTGTGGTGCTGGCCTTCCATTTGGTTTATGATCCTCTCTTTGGCAAGTAGGATATGCTCCAGAATGTCAAAAGAAAGGGGTGCTTTCTGCAAAGGCAGATTCAACAGAGATGGGCAACTCTCAGGTACTCCAGGGAATGGCAGGTAGCCAGATGTGTACATTTGCAAAGCCCACCTGGCCTATTACTGCCCAGAGTAAAGGACCTACATGGCACTTGGTCCAGAAGCGTGACTATTTCCCAGGTCTGAGTAATAATCAGCATCTTATCCTACATGTGGCATTTTCTGCCTCCACGGAAAATATGCAAAGATGATGGGGGTTTCAACAAGCAGCATGTCCTTGACATCATAAACTCTCTTTTGGGGTAGGGAAATGACCTACATCATTTTTTAAACTATTTTTTAAGTCCCTAGGTCTAGGCTCAGTGCATGGTAAATATCCAATAAATACTTTTTTAAAAATAGAACCAACATCTTAGCTATGATCTTAAGGAACTCTTTTCTTTTTTTTTTTTATTATTTTTTTTTTAATTTTTTTTTCAACATTTATTTATTTTTGGGACAGAGAGAGACAGAGCATGAACGGGGGAGGGGCAGAGAGAGAGGGAGACACAGAATCAGAAACAGGCTCCAGGCTCTGAGCCATCAGCCCAGAGCCCGATGCGGGGCTCGAACTCACGGACCGCGAGATCGTGACCTGGCTGAAGTCGGACGCTCAACCGACTGCGCCACCCAGGCGCCCCAAGGAACTCTTTTCTTAACAAGACAAAGATTGTGGGCAGTAAGGAGTTGATGGAATGTCCAAAGATGAAGAAATGGTCTCAAAAGGAATGGACTCAAAGGGAGATTTGAAAAAGAAGAGACCAAACAATGT